GTCTTTGCAATCACTTGTTATGCATCAGAGAGTTGGACAATGACTAGGGAGGACAGAAGGAGAATTGATGCCCTTGAGCTGTGGTGCTGGAGAAGAGTATTGAATGTACCATGGACTGCTAGGAAAACAAACAGATTCATTCAGGAGAGGGCTAAACCAGGCTACTCCTTGGAGGCAAGGATTCTGGGGCTTCATCTGACATACTTTGGGAATGTTCCTATTTTTAAACCCTATGTGTACTCATAGCATGAACATGAAGAAGAAAAATGTGAATGGTGTTAACCATGTCAAATTGAAAGGTTATTTATATTGATCAAAATGTGATAACTAGAATTATAAATTAGGCCTTTGTGGTATTAGATACCAAGAAAATAAATGTTTATTCAAGAAGATGGCTTTAGGGTTTGTTTTTTTTTAAGATTAGAGAAAATGAAATCTCTTTGTTACAATGCGATGGCTTAAAAGTGTGAACTCGGACCACCCTAACTGCAGTAGAGTCCTGCCTGTAAAGTCCTACAAGTTGTTTGAGCTTGTAGAAATTATTTACTCTTTTTGCTTAATTTTTCTCATTTATACAGTCAGGATGATGACAGTATAATTTCCCTAAGTGGGCTGTTAATGAAAATTAAATGAGAATCTATGTGGAAAACATAGGTGTAAAAATCTTAGGTAATGAAACTGTTTGATACATGTTGTTAAGTGCTGTCAAGTTGATTTTGACACTGAGTACAATAGAGTGAAACCGCCCTGGATATGCACGATCTTCACACTCTCCCTTGTGTGTAAGCCCATTGGTCTAGTCACAGTGTCAATCCATCACATCGAGAGTCTTACTCTGTTATATGTGTTCTGCTTTTCTGAGCATTAGATCCTTTGCCAAGACTGCTGTGGGTTTTGTTAGGTGCCATCAAGTCAAGTTTGACCCATAGCAACCGTATGAACAATGGATCTGAACCCTGTTCTATCCTTTGCCATCCTCACACTTCCTGACACACTGGAGTCCATTGCTGCAGTCACTGTCTCAGTCCATCTGGTTGAGGGACTTACTCTTTTTTTATCAGCCTTCCACCTTTCCAAGCATCATGTCCCTCTCCAAGGAATAGCCTCTCCTAGCAACATGCCCAAAGTATGTGAGGAGAAGCTTCACCATCTTTGCCTCCAAGGAGCACTCTTATTGAACTTTGTCCAGCACAGTTCTTTGTTCTTTTGTCAGTCCATGGGATGTTCATTGCCTTTCTCCCAACAGCACAGCTCATTCATTGTCCAGCTTATTCATTGTTCAGCTCTCAGATGCATAGTAACTTGACTCATGTGCCTTAATCTTCCAACTGACATTGTTGTTCCTTAATAATTTGGAGAGGTCTCTAACTGCAGACTTTCCCAGTGCAGTCTATCTCCTGATTTCCTGACTGCTGGTACCAAGGGTGTTGGTTGTGGATCCAAGTAAGATGAAGTTGTTGACAGTTACTCTTTATCTGTCATGATGTTGCCTATCAGTCCATTGCTAAGAATTTGTTTTTCTTAACATAGAGTTGCAATCCATATTGAAGGCTTTATTCTTTAAAAAAATTTCTACAAGTGCTTCAAGTCCTCCTCACTTTCAGAAAGCAATATTGTATCATCTATGTAACATAGGTTATTGATGAGTGTTTATCTGATCTTGATGCCACATTTTTCTTGCTAGAGTTCAGTTTCTCGAATAATTTGCTCAGCAGTTAGAATAGATATGGAGAGACACTACAACCCTGACACACTCCCTTCTTAAGGCGGCCATGTTCTTCCTGGTTGGCTCCTCCCAGGGTCTCGGGAACTTCTCCTTGCCAGAAGGAGCATAGTGGTGTGAGCGCAAGAATCGTGGCAAGCTTTTGTAGTCGAGTGCTTTTCTGGGCATGTGTTTGACGTGCATGTTTGCTCTGTCCCCGGGAGCAAGGCAAGCTAGGCTTTGCCTAGGGATTGAGCTCCCAAAGGGCCCTCAGGTCTGCAGCCCTTGGACCAGGTTCAGATTGTCTTCCTGTCAAACATTCTTCTAGGTGGTATAGCACTGGTCTGTGCACTGCTGTACAGAGGTAACTCGTGGTTGCTGTGATGCTGAAGACTGTGACAGTGATGGGCCAAACCTGGGAACGGGTACCCATGGTGGACAGTGTTGGCTGGAGCTTCCCAACTAAAACAAGCCTGCAAGCAGGAACGGCATCCACTTCTGAAATGGCTTGCCTCTGGAAACTCTGTGTACGAACAGTGCTCAGGCCATTTGTTCATAGGGTCGCTATGAGTCGTCTATGACTCGATGGCACTAAATAACAACAGTGTTCTCTTGATCTGTTTGCATCATAGCCTCTAGCTTTAGGTATAGGTTTCTCATGCATACAACTAAGTACTCTGGAATCCCCATTTGTCTCAATGTTAGCCATAACTTGGTATGATCCATAGTCAAGTGCTTTTGCATAATTATAAAGCTTAAATAGACATTCTTCTGGTATGCTTTACTTTCAGCCAGGATCCATCTGACATCAGCAATGATCTCCCTGGTGCCATAGCCTTTTCTAAATCCTACTTAAATGTCAGGCAATTCCCTCTCTACTGTTCTAGCCATTTTTGAATGATCTTCAGCAGTATTTTGCTTGCATGTGATATTAATGATATTGTTCGAATGAACACACATTCATTTGGATCATCTTTCTTAAGAATAGGAATAATTATGGCCCTCTTCCAATATGCTGGCCAAATAGCTATCATCCAGATTTCCTGGTATAGACTGGTCAGTGCATCCAAGGCTGCATCGGTTGAATGAAACAAGTCACTTGGTATCCCATCCATTCCTGGGGCCATATTTTTTTGCCCATGCCTTCAGTGCAGCTTCAGCTTTCTCCTTCATTACCATTGGCTCCTGCTTATATGATACTTGTTGAAAATTTTCAGTGTCAATTCTTTTTGGTACAGTGACTCCCTGTATTCTCTCCTCCTTTTGATGCTTCCTGGGTCATTCAGCGTACTGCTTACAATGATGTTAGGTGCTGTCAAGTTGCCTGTGACTCACAGCAACCCGATGTATAACAGCTTTAAAACCCTGCTCTATCTTGAGCCAATTTCACTGTCTCTAACACACCTACCCCCATTACTCCAGTCACGGAGTCAGTCCATCTCATCTAGGGTCGTCCTCTCTTGCACTGTCCATCTTGTCCTTCCATCCTTCCAAGCATGATAATCCCTCTCCAAGTACTGGTCCCTCCTGGCAACATGGCCAGCGAGCGTATGTCAAACGGAACTTCAGAATCCTTGCTTCCAAGTAGCAGCCTATTTTTACCCTTTCCAGGACAGACCTGTTTGTTCTCTTAGCAGCCCATAGTATATTCAGTACTCTCTCCAGCACCACAACTCATAGGCATCAATTCTTCTATCATCTGTAGTCATCGTCCAGCTCTCTGAT